AAAAAACAAAAAAACGTAGTCAATGAGATAGCAGGACGAGAATGTTGAATGCTAGGCTACAATGTTAATTCTAATTGACTTGGGAGTTGCTTGCTGTGCACTGAAAAGACATGGCAAGCACAGCCCTGGAAGTCTATGCAAATGTCTCATTAGACTGCTGGGTAATATATTTACACGGAGGTGAAGGGAGTAGCCTAGTTATTTACACTCATTGAATGGACGCATATCCTAAACCAGTTGTTGTGTCAAATTATAATAATAGGTGTGATTTAGGGCCAGGGCTGTAGCTACCATGGGGCAAGTGAGGCACTCGCTTCAGGCGCAGCTAGGACTGGCCTGCCTGCGCCCCCTCTCCCCTGTTGCCATGGCGAGCACAGGGGCGCCAGGCGGCCAACACAGCCGCGGCTCGGCACAGAGAAGAGCAGCACACGCTCCATCTTATGGGCAGAGGAGTCTGCGTCCTCAATCTCTTTTTCTATTTCCAAAGTGAAATGTCAGGGGTCTGTCTAGACCTGATATTACCCCAAAGCCCCCCAACAGTAAAAAAAAACAACCACACACACTACTAGACATGTGCAAAGACACAAAATTGGTTTTGGGCGAAATGAACGGAAACTAAAAAAATTTTCATTCGTTTTGTCCAACAAAACAAATTTTTATGCAATTTGGCTGTATTTGGCCACGAGCGCACTGGCCGCCATCCTGAAGGTGGGGCGCATGACATCACTTACCGCACATGTCTGTTGGGGGGCACAATTTTCTGTTCTTCCATACGGCTCTGTATAGGGCACTAGAGATTGGAACAGACAACTCCTGTCACATAAAGAGCCTATTATTTATGCTGGGGTACATAGACTATTGGTCTGCTCTCTTAGTGAAGTAGCTCACAGGCACTCTTTTAGTAGACGAGCATGATCTGGTCTAGGGGGATGCTGGGTGGCAAGTCATTACACGCCACCCAGTTTCCTTTATAGGGCTTCTGGTATCGGTATTCAGTATCAGCGAGTACCGGAAAAAAATATCGGTACTCATACTTGATACCCAAAAACCGGTATCGGTGCATCCCTACCTAAAACGAAAGAAATCAAAGAGGGTGTACTTTCTTTTTCACATGACTATATCTATGTAAAGTGCTTACTACTAAG